CCTGCAGGCATCGAACCCGTCAAGCCAATAATCCGAGTTCTTTTGAGCAGCGTCCTTGGCCTTCTTGTTGGCGTCCTCCACCTCCTTGTTAGCCTCGTCAAGGCTCGAGTCCATCCCCTTGATCCTCAGATCGAGCTTCTCAACGAGAGCCCTTAGGCGCGTCACCTCAGTATGATGGCGTTCGCTCTCCTCTTCAGCCTTCGCTGAGAGGCCTCGCTACGATCTAGCAAGTCCCTCAACTCAAGGATCCTCCGGCTCCCATAGGCAATCTTGTCAACCATGCCCTGGTGAGTGCGAAGGAGCTGAAAGACAGAAAAACTTAGAAAAATTTCGGAGGCAACACGAAAAGAATAACGAGAATTCTGGTTACCTTGGCCAAGTGCTCGTCGTCGTCATAAGACAACTCCTCCGACGTCGCGGCCTGGAGGCTCTCCCTATCTCCGCGGGGTAAGAGGTGGCTCATCATCTCTACAGTGGTACTGCGGTCCAACAGACTGTCGCTGACGTTAACATCCCACTCCGGAATGAACTTATCCGACGGACCAGAGACGTGGTCGAAGCCTCCGTCGGTGAACATCTGGGGACCTCCAGTTCCGCTACCCTCTCCAATGTCAACCTCGGGAGCTGGAGTCACCGGAGGACGAGTAGGCCCCAAAATAAGAGGTCGCAGCACCTTCCTTGGGGGAACCCCGGACTCCTGCCTCTGGGCAGCGTCAGCCACGACTTTGCTCCTGTTTACCCTAAGCTTGATCTTCTTAGCCTTGGTCACCTCCATACCTAAGAAGAGAATAAAAAAGAGGGGTAAATACCAAGATATAAATAATAAGAGTGCATGCAATATTTATTAAAGACTACGGTTTGTTCGTACTAAGGTCGACAACTGTAGTCGGTGGAGCATGGCTTAAGCGAGCCGCAATCAAGTTCTTTTCCTTTAGTAAAAGGGTTAAGCTCGCGGGACCTTTGAGAAAAAGAGCTAGCATAGCCTTTTCCTCGTCATGAGAGAGCTCGGACTCTAAGGGCCGACAGACATCATCACTCCACTCAGAAGGAAAGTTCCAAGGATCACCCGAATAAACGTAGAAGAATTTCGACTTCCAATATTTTGTGTCTTTGGAAGAATCTACCAAAGGTTTAGAACACGACCTCGACACAACATAGAAGAGGCCTTCCAGACTTGGATGGTTTTGGAGGCGGTAAATGGAACTGAAGACTCTAGCGTTCGTGGGTATGGGTACTGAAGCCCCGAGGAGGACAAACCCCACGATAATCATCCAAGCGTTAGAAGTTAGCTGAGCGGGAGAAATATTGTAAAAATTCAAGATCTCAACGATGGTCGGATGTAGAGGGAACCATAGACCATTTTTAAACATGTCTTCGTAAAGACAAAGCCATCCCGGAGGAGTTTCGTCAAAACTACCCTCTCCGGGCTCCGGAATATAGAAATTCCAAGCGTCAGGAATATAATGTTTGGCATAGAACCTACGGACGTCGTCCTCTACAAGTGTGGACACCGACCCATCAATATACGAACTAGCTTTTTGCCTACGTCCGTGGGGTCGTCGGGCTAGGATTTCGTCATCGCCCGACTCATGAGAATTCATGGACATTTTCAAACCTGAAAATGCAAGGATATAAACGGACATGAAAACGCGAGAAATGAGACAAGGTGACCAAGGAGTCCTCGGGATAACGTTGTGACTTGGCGGCAAGTAAAAACAAAATGGAGAGGTATGTTAGTTCTTTCTTGTTAAGAGCAAAAAGAAGGCAAAAATTCGAGTCCTTGGACTACTCGAAGAAAAGTTTCATATGCCTAAGGTTATACTAATTATGGAGTGTGCCCATAGAAAAGCTAGCAAGCCACATACATATTTTGCCAAAAAAAAATAAGGCGTTGCAAAAATTTCTTACCTTTTGTGAGCCTTCAGATAAGTTGGTTGCAATCAAAAATTGGAGTAGGTTTAAATGTGTTTGTATCTCCAGTGGCCCTTATTAGCTCTCCAAAGCCCTTGGACAAGTAAAATAAAAGAGAAACTTTGGTTGGTAGTAATGGATGGAGAAGAATAAAGGAGCCATACAATTTGAAGGTAGAGAAAGCAATCCTCAGTCAAGATGAAAAGACATACTGTGGAAACAAGTGGTAAATTAAACCGCAGAGGTCAAGCTGCCAAAACTGACAGAGCAAATAAAGTGAAGCAATTGCTTTAGACCTGCCAAGGGTGGAAAATCCCACAAAAA